CCAGCTGCCTCGGCGTTTTCACCACCATCTTCTGCGGGTGTCTGTTCTGCAGGGGCCGCCTCCTCTGCCGGCGCTGCTCCACCGTCTTCTGCGGGCTGGTCGGCCATATTTGGGAGCTATTATCTGCCAAAGTTGCGCTTGCCAGCGTCTAAGTCCGGCCCGTTTAAATCCATGTGACTCTTATCGATTTTCATGTGCCTGCCAATACTGACTTTGTGCCTCAGGTGCGGTCATAATTCTACAAATTTCACAATTCGTTCAGTTTTGCGGACGACTTTTCTTTGCACGCCGATTTCCTGTCATCTTTAATTCCGGCTTTCAGATCTCTGCAGCCCAAGATAATTACAAGACACTGTTAGAACTACAATTCCGCCTTCCTTATCACCGCTTTCAATTACCTTTCCCGCGCAGGCATGGTTGTATAATTTGCAAACCTCTGCACCATTAAGCACACCTTAGGTACTTAATTATATTCTGTTGAGCCGGACGCTCACAGTTGTTTTATAGGTTGGCGATTTGTGCAATTGACCTAACTCGACATCTTAGAAAAGTAGATTGGTCCGCTCCGCATTTCGCAGAGGTTATTCTTAGCAGGTAATCTGTAAAGGACCATAAATATCAAACTGTGCTGGGTCCCGGAGTATGTAGAAAGTAAAAACTGTATACTTATTCACTTATTGTTGTGATAAATATTGCTCTAATGTTGGTTGCTGTGACTAGGCGATCAGTGAACGACAAAATGACCCACTGAGCTCCAGGTATGTTACACAGCGGACAGTGTGAAATAATCGCACACCTTCAGTTGGAAAGGCAACTGATGATGTCACAAAGCTTGTGGTGACCTGAAGACCAAAGTGTTTAAGAATGCGACAAATACGCTGCAACTCCTAAACTTCAACAGCAAACCCCCAGCTACCACAAATGCAGTTGCCTAAGGACGCTATATCGGTGTGTTGAGACGCATTGCATTGAACCACTATCTTTCACAAGTTTTCAGCGAAAATAGCTTCACACACAAATTTCTC